CGGTGCGTGACTCCGTGTTAGAGAACTGCCCGCGGAAGCAGATGTCACAGAGCTGCTTCTGAGTTCCCTTCGAGTTATCTGGGGGGTTGTTTTCGACCTATACACGAGGCATAGCACGCGTTTATCAGTCACGCTAAAGGTATGTAACATCGCATGGCAGGTAAATCGACATTTAAACCAAGATAAAGCAATAATTGACAGTCCATTGTTAATCCACTGCTGGATGAAGGTCTTCTTTCATGGAGGACGATTGCCCATACTTCACCACGCTGGTCATTGCGTGTTGGTGAAGGGCTTGGCGGGGAGGGGGCGGTTGGCGGGCCCGGGTGGCGGGGGACGGGGCAATATCATTCACCAGTTTAGTTATCGCACGCCACTGATGTTAGCCGTGGCCCAGAATCGCGAGTGCGGTGCGCGAGCCACTGCGCCCCCGTATCCTGTGATTACGAATCGCGTAACCACAACAGCCCACCGTCTGCGGAGGAGATAATTAATCTTAATGGGTTCTCATCTGGTTAAAGGGTATCGATTGACTGATTGATTGAGTGGCTGAGCGATTGATGGCTTCCTGCCCTCCACTCCCCTCCCCCTTCCGTGATGATCGCCACGGGCCCGCGGGCAGCGGTGCTTCTGAGGACAGGTAAGGTGGGGTCACGTGGACAGGTGAGGGGGGGGGTCACGTGGACAGATGGGGTGGGGGTCACGTGGACAGGTGAGGTGGTGAGGGGAGGCCGCCATGCCGTTGCTTGAAGGGGTGGGCATCGCTTACCCACTCAGCAGGACGCGATCTCAAATAGTCAAGTCTTTCAATCAGTCAAGTCTGTATCGCGATCATTAAGCAATTTGAAGTTAAATCTAAAAACGTACCTTTTTTAAACTTGCTTTTACTTAAGATTATTTAGCAGTGTTACTTTTTTTGTTTAATATGCCTTCGATAGCAATTTATGATATTACTTGTATTGCTTTTGCGATTTAGCAGTTTTAACATTGTTTTCTTTTGGTTTAACACGTGGCATTTCGCGTCCAATATCATCCATAATAGAGGTTTTTGGGGTTGAATCACGTAAATTTACGAGATCTAACACAAAAAACCCCTCTATTATCAATGTTTTCTTTGATCTCTACATGCACTTTGAATTGCATCTTTTGCACGACAAATGAAGACTTGATTGATTGACTGATCTGCAATTGTCGTACACCGTGCGCTCTGCTCTCCGTGCCCAACTCAAAGGCAATGCACCATCAGAGTATGAGAGCTCGGGAAAAGAAAGGTGTCCGTTTTGTTGCCAGATAAAAGGGTAAAAACCCAATTATCATATTTTGCTACTGGCAAAGGAGGTTCCAATGATGGCCAGATTTTGTTTTAATATAAATAGAAGTTACATCATCGAAACACAAATTAAGCGCGGGCACGAACGTACAACTACTTTGTTTCACCAAACCTATGTGTTTGTTAACATTATACATGTTTTTTATTTAAACAATCGCGAACCAAAAGGGGTGCAGGGCTGCAGTTAAGGCTACGAACCGCTGCTGTAACGCAAGACGCCTCAATGCATCGGCGTGGTGTCCCGCGCGCGGTGATGATGATGACGACGATCAGGTCGGACGAGATCGGTGCGAGCGAGGGATAATTCCCAAGGTAGAAGTGAGCGTGCCGTGACTTGCACGGAGCAGGAACAACGCGGCTGGGGGGAGCAGACAGACACGCGTACACGAAGACACGGAGATCCTCCGTTTAGCCTTCAACGCAATTTTTTGGGGGCGAGTGCTGTTCGCATGAAGGGTACCTATGAACGCCGGCACGGCACACCAGCGGAGTGGATGACAAGCAGTTCGCCCGGTCGTCTTTTTATATTTTTTTACGATCAAAGGAAACAAGAAGATGCTCGGTATAGTCGACACTTTGCTTCGTTCATCATTTAGTTTTTTTTTCAATGCTTTGATTTATGTGCCCCCCCCCACCTTTTAAAATGAAAGGTTAACAAAAGATTTCACGCTCTGCTCTCCTCCTTCTTACCCCTTCCCTCTCTCTCTACCCCCTCTCTCTCTACCCCCCTCTCTCTCTACCCCCCTCTCTCTCTACCCCCCTCTCTCTCTACCCCCTCTCTCTACCCCCTCTCTCTCTACCCCCCTCTCTCTCTACCCCCTCTCTCTCTCTCTACCCCCTCTCTCTACCCCCCTCTCTCTCTCTACCCCCTCTCTCTACCCCCTCTCTCTTTACCCCCTCTCTCTACCCCCCCCCCTCTCTCTCTACCCCCTCTCTCGCCTTTGTCTCCACCAGTTGTGATGCTTACACACACCGCACCAGGTACTCATTTGAGGTTGAGTCGACCTAGAGGAGGCTGAGGACCAGTTCAGATTATTCGTCACTGGTATTGGTCGTGAGCAGGAATCGAACTCGGGTGGCCGGGTTTGTGGCCCGGTGACACGCGCCTGCACGCAAAAAGACAAAGATCCCCCGTGTAGCCTTCACAGACTGTTGGGGCAAGTGCTGTAAGCGAGCACCTATGAAGGCCGGCACGGCACACGAGGGGGTGGGAGGCCAGCACCACGCCCGGCCGCTTTTGTCTCCCGAGTGGCCATGCTTAGGCACCGCAAGCGATACTCAGTTGAGGCTGAGTCGACCTGAACACACGCGCGCGCATACATTCCCATTAATTTCTAATTTTCTGAAACCTGGGAGACGGTAAGAAGCGAACACATGATTTAATAATACTGTTTATGCGTTGGCAGTGGTGCACAGACAACAACAACAACAAAATCAACAAATCCGTCAGTAACAGCAATGTGTGTGCGGCCTACAAACGAAACACACATTTTATCGATATATTAGGCGACGTTTCGGGCAGCGTCCCTTCTCCACAGCACACGTGCACTGAAGACCGGGCCCATTCATTGCCCGCAATGTTTATTGGGTAATGAGAGAGAGCGTCCAGAGGGTGGCGTGAGATCGACGAGTGGCGGCGTGAAACCAGGGACGGGGGGGTTGGGTTCGGGCTGGGTTTGTTTATGGGTGGAACAGTTAATCCGACGGGTCGTAGAGGGCCCGTGAAATACGACTACAGCACTACTACTTTTTTTATTTTACCAGGTAAGGCCCACTGAGCTTCATAGCGATTTTTTTTCAGAAGCTACATGGCCACAAATGATAGCTCAGCGAAGTGGCTTCTCATCATCATCGCGAGGACGTTTATAGCAGCCAAATGCTCTAAACGCGTGACGTTGATTCTAAATGCGGAGGGGAAAACCGGATGACCCGGAGAAAAATTAACGCGACCACGGGGAGAGAGAGAGAGAGACGCAAACTCTAAATATACAGCAGCAGGCGTCAGGGTTGGGATCAAACCCACCATCCTCCTGTACATCAGGCGAGGTAGTTAACATCTCCTAGACACCGCTGAGCCGTGCTTTCAGCGTGAGTGTGCGGGTGGTAGAGAGAGAGAGGAAGGGAGGCTGCCCCCCCCCCCCCCCCGTGTCAGCTGTGAGCCCCACGCGGCACTCGGGCAGCACCGCAGACGAAATGCGGATAAAGACAGAGAATGCGACAGGGGTTCAATAGAGGGGAGGGGGAGGAAGGGGGAGTAAAGGCTGTTTGGGGCTGAGCAACAACACTCGACAACCAAACTCTGGCCCGGTGGTTCTCAATATTTTTGGTAACCCACCCATCTCCAAATCAAGGCCCCACTTGTCCCCGTCCCCCCACTCCCACGCCCCTCCCCCGCTAGAGGCCCCTCGTATGCCATCACCGCGCACGCATTCATTGCGCGGAGTGTCAACGGCACGGAGTGTCAACGGCACGGTTCACGCTTCTTGCAGTGGAAAAAAACCCCACACACACACCACCTGGCGCGTGTCGGCGCAGCGCTATATTATAAAGCACGAAACAAACTTTAAAAAAATATTTTACCAGGTCAGGCCCACTGTGCTATTTTATAGCTCTTTTCCAGAAGCAACCTGGCCACAAATAATGATAGCTCAATGGAGTGGCTTATCACGTCGACATTTATTGCAGCCAAATGCTCTTAGCGCATGTCCATTATAAATGTGGAGGGAAAACCGAAGGACCCGGAGAAAAATCCACGCGACCACGGGGAGAGGGAAACGCAAAACTCAAAATATGCAGGCGTTAGGGGTCGGGATCGAACCCATGTCCTCCTGTATACCAGGCGAGGTCGTGAACACCTCTGTGCATTTCGTCGACGCTACGTCGTGCTTGCCGTACGTGCTCTCCGTGCACATTTGACAATCGTCCTGCACATACACCGGGTTCATCGCGCAGTGCGCTAACCACTGCGCTGTCACTCCCCGCAGCTATACACGTTCAAAGGCAAAGACCCCCCGTGTAGCCTTTAACAGCCTGTTGGGGCAAGTGCTGTTTGCGAGCACCTATGAAGGCAGGAACGGCACACGAGGGGGGGGGGTGGGTGGCCAGCACCAAGCCCGCCCGCCTTTGTCTCCCGAGTGGCGATATTTACACACCGCACCGAGTACTCATTTAAGGCTGAGTCGACCTATACGCGTTCACACACACACACGCGCGCGCGCACAATCCTGGTGGAGCGGCGGGCGATGTTGCAGATGCGCTCGCAGAAGTCACCGCACGGCACGTCGAGTCTCGGGGTTCAGAGTTCGCGCCCTCTCCCATCCCCACCCCCACCACGACCACCGCGAGGCATCCCCTGCCTCGTGCACCCCCATCTACACCCCCCACTCCTCCCCACTCCTCTCCACCCTACTACCCCTGCCCACGGAATGGACGCGACCAGGTTTATTCTCGGATTGGAATGAGGCGTGAGCGCGCGGTGGTTTGAGTGAGCGGGAGAGTGTCGCTGGGAGGGGAGAAGCAGCGGGGGAGGAGGGGAGAGGGAGGGAGGGAGGAGGAGGAACGAGCAGTGGGGAGTGGAGAAGAGGGGAGAGAAGGGGAGTGGAGAGAAGAGGGGGGGAGTGGGGAGAAGAGGGAGGGGAGGAGGAAGGAGGAGTCAGGCGAGCCAAGCGCATGCAACTTTTTTTGTGTGTGTGGCGCAGTTTTTTTCACGAGCGGAGCGCAGCAGCGGCGGCGAGAGTCACTGGGGTCTCTCATTACGCTGCAGACGAGAGAAGCGGCGGAGAGGCGGGCGCGCGTGATAGACCCTCCGTAGCACCAACGCGCCGCTCTAAGGGCGCGTGCGTCCTGCGGTAGCAAGGACAGCAACCGACGGCGGCAAGGGGAGTAGACGAGCCACATCGGTGTGTCCGGAGATCGGAGCGCGCGGCGTGGAGAGGAGGCAAGAGGCATGCGACCCATCTGCGTCGCGTGTGCGGCGCTCTGCCTGCTGCTGCTGTCCCTGATCGGTAAGTCATCCATCGGGAGGGCAGGTCCCACCGCCGCGTCTCTTTCATCCCGCCGCGGCAAAACCTCCTCCCGCCTGCGTTCGCGTCCCGACGCCGGTCGCCTCGTAACTCGTAGAGCGGAGGGAGGGTGCCACGCGCAGCCGAGCGGATGAACGAACGGAGCGAGGGAGCGAGAGTGGGGAATGATGAGGTTGTACTTTTGCCGCGTGGTGTATTCATCGTCGGCTCTTGTTAATCCACTGCTGGATGAATGCCTCCCCCCACGCCGTCGCCCATCACTCTCGCTCCAGTGCTGCCGCTGCTGCTGCTGCTACCATTCATCTCACTCCCATCGCATGAACTGGTCTCTTGCTCGTCACGTACTTATCGGTGTCATTGTAATACTACTCATTAATAATGCTCATTCTTGTAACCCCCGCGGTTATATACCTCGGAGAGCATCGGCGAGTTTCGAGGCTCGTCGCGTTCCGTTTGTTTTGAGAACTGGTCCTGCCACATTGAAGTGGGTTCGCGGCTCAGTCGATGAGTGTTGTGTTTTTTTATTTTCCTTCTCTGCTCTGTCTTCGCGTGGAAAGAGAGAAGCGGAGAGAACCCAGCCACGCGTGCGAAGGCGACGTAGCACTCGACGCTGTCACTTATTTAGCCCGCTTGGCAGACTCGGGGGGGGAGGGTTCGAAGGGACACACACTCTCTCTCTCTGCTCTCTCGGTTCATTCATCGGGTGGTTTCAGACAGTCGATTGGCGATCGCGTTACAACTATCGCATCGCGCGGATAAGAATGTGATGGACTAACGCCGCCACCCCCACTACAGCAGCCGCGAGTGGCCAATGCATTCACCACAATTGGTGAGGGTGACCCATTCCCCCTCTGCCCCCCCTCCCTCCACTTCGAGCGTAATCAGCGTCCCGTGCTGTCGGCTCCCTGGCCCTGTCAACAACGAGCAGACTCAGGACTCTTCCTCTACCCCCTCTGTCTGTGACTGCATGGTCGCCTTATTTTTTTTAAATCTATGAACACAATGTACATATGCCCCCCCCCCATTATCCCTTCCATTAGCACGTTTGGCTACGTACGGTACGAAAGTTCAACACACATACAGCCATCCCCTCCACCCCCTTACCCCCCCCCCCCTACCAGCGTCTGGAGATGTGGGTCGGGTTTGGAAGCTTCGTGACATCCACCGTGTGATGTTGTCGCGAATTGCCGGGTTGAGAGCATCTGTCGCGATCACTTGCGGCTGTTGTAATAATGGGGTTGGAAGTTTGTGCATTCAAGTGCCGTGAGACTTTGAATGGGGCCGCGGGAGGGTTTAGGTGTTTATGAGAATGTGGGTGAGTGTGTGAGTGTGTGTGAGTATGTGTGTGTGAGTGTGTGTGAGTGTGTGTGTGAGTGTGTGTGAGTGTGTTCTGTTGAGGCTACACGGGGGATCTTTGCCTTGTAGGATGATAGGGACGGCAACTGGGCTGTGGGGGGGACTGGGTAAAGCCATATGCCAAGTCCCCCACTAAATACATACGATAAGACCCCTTACTCCTTGAACTTAAGTGTGCTTAAGTGGCGTGTTTATAGAACGAGCGCTGGCGCTGTGATTTACGCACTGCTCCTATGCTTAACCGGGCGGACATGCATTCGGTTCTGGATATCATCGGCGGCAAGTTGTTAACCTCCTCTAGGTAGACTCGGCCTCAAGCGGGTACATTGCGTCAGTAGGAGGACTCACGAGAGGCGAGGTTGTCTGGGCCGTGAGGTTTGTTTCGGCAGCACCACTCTCTCGAGCGCAAGTGTCGTCCAATAACAACAACAACAACAAGTGCTCGCGAACAGCACTTGCCCCGACAGCCTCGTCAGACTATACGGGGGGACCTTTGCCTTTGTTTTGTTTGAGAAGCGCTTCCTCGGGTACTCGGCTGGGAGACAAGAAAGATTGAGGCACGGATCAGCGAGCGAGAGCGAGAGAGCGAACGCGAGTTTGGGGACATCTGCGCCGTCTGTTGGAAAGGTGTCGAGCGACCGCTCCTGTGGTCGAGACCCCAAACGCCGAGTGGCAGACCAAAGGCAAAGCGCGGGACACGGCGCAGGGATGGAGCGACGAACTGGTGACCTCGCGTGCGGGCACGAGCCGGAGAGACAGGATCAGAATAAGTGTTCACAGTGGAGAAATCAGATGCGCCATAAAAAAAAAACATTTTTAACAGATGTCCAGCAGGGTGAGAGCAACAACAACAAACAATGCAACAACACGACAGGTGTGCAAAGTACAGGTCAGGTAAACAAATCACTTTGAAAAAAAAAAAACGTAAAGTTTTTTAAATTTAATTTTCATCTTACCAATTCAAGCTCGCAGAGCGTTTAGTTTATTTTTTATTTTCACGCAACGGCTCGTGGGACACCTTAATCCGGCGGTTGATAGACCCGGCCTTCCATCCAGCGGCCGATAGATAATGGCTCGATGGTTTTTTTTTGCTTAAGATTCCAGGAAGGAGTCTCTGTGTTGAGGACACACGCCCACTTGTGCAGTTACAGGCGGCAGGCGCAGAGGCACAAAGACGAGATTAGTCGCACGTAAATACACAAACACAAAGGCGTCAACACTGCGCATTGGGCCCCAAAGACTGCGTAGGAGAAGTGCTGCGAGTGTATTTGTTGGCCAGCAACCACGCCCGCTCGCCTTTGTCTTTCCCGCGCCGTCGGGTGATGACGTTCAAACGCACCCGTTGGTCGACCTCGGGGAGGGGTGGACCGAGCACCGGATCGGTTCAGACTCTGCGACTCAGCGTGTTCGGGTATCGAACACAGGCGGTTAGAATCGGAGCGCAGTGCGTGGACAAATATGACGGTGTTCCAACGCCCCCATGCGCACACACACACACATCAATCAACACACACACATACACATCAATCAACACACACTAACATACACATACAAGCACACACACACACCCTTAGATGCAAACAAGGACAAAGATCGCCCGTATAGCCTTAACATACTGTTGGTGCATACTCTTTGATTTTTTCGGTAAGTCACACCAAAGGTGTGCTTTCGCTAAGTTGTCCTCACCTGAAGAAGGACGCTTGTGTAGCGCCCGAAACGTCGTAATTTAATTTATTTGAATTTTTCACCTACGTGACTTTACCGAAAAAACCAAAGAGTATGAATCCTTGCAGTCACGAAAACTTCTAATCGAGAAATACTCTTGGTGCAAATGCTGTTAGCGAGCGCCTATGAAGGCCGGCACGGCACATGAAGGGTGACCAGCACCACGCCCGGCCCGCCTTTGTCTCCCCAGTGGCGATGTTTACACACCGGACCAGGTACTCATTTGAGGCCGAGTCAACCTAGGGGAGGCCCAGGACCGGTTCACATAATCGTCACGGGTGTTGGCCGTGAGCGGGAATCGAACTCGGCTCGCCGAATTCGTAGCGCGCCAGCCGCTAGCAACGACCGCTCCCCACAAAAACACGAGCACACATCACGAACACACGCTCAGTGGATTCCTCGCGTCGCCCTATCGAGTTACATCGCCGCGTACGGAAAGGGTTTGATCTTCTCCGTCCTCCCAGCGACGTGTCCTCTCCCCGTCCCTCCTGTCTCCTCTGTCTCGGTGTCACCTCTGTCACCATGCACTCATGTCTCGGATTTCATTGTCCCAATGTTTCCTGTCTCGTCTCCTTTCCGCTGTCCCCCGATGTCCCCCGTGTCTCCCTGTCTCCTGTACCCGTGGCCTATCGCCCGTGTCCCCCTGTCCCAATAGCCCCAGGCCTCCTGTCCCAGGGCCCCGTGTCTCCCTGTGTCGTGTACTGTGATTATCACGATTTCAGCCATTGTGGCAATCTACTGCTCGACTGACGCTTCCTCTCCACGCGGGCTCGGTTATGGAGGTCTTTCCCACCACACTCTGTCGACCCACGTGGATTGGCGGTGGACTAGGGTGCATTTAGAATCAACGTCACGTTGCCACGTGATGATAATTTGTCATTGTCAGGTCGCTTCTGCAAAAACAAAGAGCCACGCATCTCAGTGGGCCTTACCTGGTAAAATAAAAAAAATAGTTGTACTGGTTGTAGTCGCATTCAGGACTGGCTTTAGATATCACTCGTCACTGGTGTAGGAAGGCATGGGCTAGGAATCGAACCCAAGTCGCCGGACTGTATAAACATTTCACAATAATAATGATCGTTCTTACACCACGATTGCCTCTTGCTCTGTGAGATGCTGCGCATAGATGGGCGTTTTCCAGGCCCGTTTGCTTTGTTTCTGCCGGGGTAGCCACGCTCCGTATATCCACCTTAATCGCCTCTGCATTGCCGGTAGAAAGAGCAGTGCCCCATGTCGTCTCCCACTGGCACAGTTGGCAACGTGTGCGGGACGACCACCTGCTGCTGCTTGTTGGTAGCGTGTCATTGTGTGTGTCACCGTGCGTGTGTCACCGTGTGTGTGCGCGTGTGTGTCACCGTGTGTGTGCGTGTGTGTGTGTGCGTGTCACCGTGTGTGTCACCGTGTGTGTGTGCGTGTGTGTGCGTGTGTGTGTGCGTGTGTGTGCGTGTGTATGTGCGTGTCACCGTGTGTGTGCGTGTGTGTGTGCGTGTCACCGTGTGTGTGTGCGTGTGTGTGCGTGTCACCGTGTGTGTGCGCGTGTGTGTGTGCGTGTCACCGTGTGTGTGTGCGTGTGTGTGTGCGTGTGTGTGTGTGCGTGTCACCGTGTGTGTGCGTGTGTGTGTGTGCGTATCACCGTGTGTGTGCGCGTGTGTCCATGTGGGGAGCGGTAGCGTGGCCGTTAGTACGCTGTGCTACGAGCCCGCCGACCTGAATTTGATTCCCGCTCGCGGTCACCAACGCAAGCGACGATGATCTTAACCGGTCCTGGGCCTCCAACTAGGTCGACTCAGCCTCAAATGAGTACCTGGTGCGGTGTGTAAACATCGCCCCTGGAGAGGTAAAGGCGGGCCCGGCGTGGTGCTGGCCACCCACCCCATTCGTGTGCCGTGCCGGCCTTCATA